TTCTGACATGAATTTAAAGGGATTTCTGTGCAGACGAGTGCAAGATCTAAATTAAATTCTTAGGTAATTTTAAAAGATTTCAAAAAGAGTTGTGAAAAAAAATAATGGAAAATTCCTACGTGATTCTGAGAAGAATTGTATGGGGATTGTGAGGAAAATGACAGATGAATTTTAAGAAGAATTCCAAGAGAATTATGATGAGAATTCAACAAGAAACAGAGTTCTAAGAGTGTTCTGGGGATAACTTCAACCCTAAACACTAAGATTATTTTACCGAAATCTGTGAAATTTTACCGAAATCTCAACAACTGAACGTTCGGTCAACAGTTCAGTGATTTTTCACAGTTTTCCTGTAATTTTTCAACGAATATCTGTGAGAAATCACAGAAAATCTGTGAAAAATGACCGATCTGTTACTGTTGAGATTTCGGTAAAATTTCACAGATTTCGGTAAAATAATCTTAGTGTGTAGTGCGAAAGATTCACCACAGAGCAATTAATTGCAAAATAATGGCTGATAATTAGAAAGTTTTTTTTTTTTAAATACTCCAAGGGGTTTCTAAATAACATTTCGAAAGATTTCTGCTGCTTTGAATAGAGGTAAAAGAAAATTTTGAAATTTAAAATTCTAAAAGGATCAAAGTCTCCGAATAGGTTTAAGGAAATTCAAAGAAGGATTCAAATTCTTAGAATAGGTTTCAAAGAAATTCCACAAAGAATTCAGCGGTAATTGTTACGCGTAGTGTTTTCTGGTTAGTTTCAGAAGAATTCCATGATAATTCAGAGCAGAATTCCAAGTTAATTCTGGAATTCAAATCATGAGAATTTTGAATACCGAAAAATTGAAACCCCGTTTATTACAAATATTTATTTCCAAAGTCCTGCATCGTCAATATTTTCTTTTAATGCCCTTGCACTTTACATCCGGAATTGAAACGACAACAATCAATTTGAAATATTGCTGAGTGATTAAATTCAAAAAACAATAGAGCAAGACATTCATTTGGTAAAGCATCACTCTGCCTTAATAGTTTATTCTGCTGTTAAATTTTGTTACTATGGTATGGTTAATTTGTTTTTCCCGGTTCTCTCGTCAAATTGCCGGATTTTTCCCGGTTACTTTACAAATTCCCGAATATTTCCCAGTATTCCCTATTTTTTCGATTCACTGGCCACCCTGATATAGGCGTCTGAATAGGTAAACCACCTTTTACTTTGGTTATCGAACCATTATTAATTGAATCCTCTAAGGCTCTGAACCATTTGGCGATTATTTTTTTTATTAACTTTTGGTTATAATTTGACAGACGGAAAGTTATCGATTAACCCTGCTATCTGAGCATGGTTGTTTCTGACAGACAAGAAGTTAAATTTTGACAACCGTGGCTCGAAAACCGGTCGATCGACAGCACGGGGATTTTGGAACATAGAAAATATTTTTCGAAATGTCGCTTTTATCCACGAGTCAAATTTATCTCAGCAAATGGTTCACAGCTTAAGAAGGCATCATCAGCATTCCGCAACATATACACTAGAATGATGCAAAATTTGAAATTTTCACTCAACAATGCTCAAACGGTTCCAAATTGAATCCTGATAAGCCTTCTAATTTTTTAACTCGTTTAGTAAAAAACTGACTTGGCACAAACCATTGAAGTTGGTATGGAAATTACTATGGGAAAACCTTTTTTTACGCAACAGCGTCAATCAATCTACTATGCTCGATCCTATCGAGCAGAGTACGGTAGACGGTAACTCTGCGTAACTCTTATATTATCAAATCTGGTTCCAACGATAGATTCAGTGGAAAGGGTAGGCACTCACAAGCCATTCCCAACAGGCAAGCATTGGGCAACCGAATTTCGAAGTGAGGCGAAGTCACACAATAGGTGAGAAGTACAGCCTAGAAGCTCAGCTTTAACGGTAGCCTTCTTTTGCACTTTCAGTGTGTTTCTCGCGTTCGGTTAAATTGGCAAGGCAATTGCAACGTGAAATCTATAGAAGGCCTTCATCCGTTAAACCTCTTGCCTATTAGTGTATGATAAATGGGAAATTGATTCCATGTCTCCTCATCAGTACACCTCGGATACTATTTGCATTATCGCGTATTTCTGTTGTTTTTTAATAAAGAAAGATAAAGATAAGATTCAGTCGTTCTTTACATACCAAAACGTAGTCGCGTAGATTTAGTTGCGAAACGTTATGATTCGGAGATGCTCGATGACCCTGGAGGGATCGCTTTTGCTTACTGAGCAGAAAATCATGGGTTTAATCCCAAGCTCTCCATCATGACTCTTAAAATGCATGAGCACTAAACAAAATAAATATTTTCTTTCGATCGAGAGATTAAATGAGCAACACATAAACAATATATACTTTTGGTTGCATTGCCAACTTGAGGCGTATCCTAACCGACCCTACCCAACCTTCCAACTCCGTAGCACTTATGAGGGTGTCGCTAAGTCGGTGACCTCTCGTTAAGCAAGTACTACCTACATCAACATCTCCTTCCCTATCCCTAGTTATGGTAAAGATGGGCGTGACCGGGAAAGCGATTCTTATTTAGATTGGAATCAATGTTTACTCCCCAGCAGGGAAGGAAAATCATTTAGATACATTTCGTGCATTCAGTTACATTCAGTGTCCTCTAACTTTTTTCATCAACAGAATACCGTAAAATTATTAATGAAGCGTTTGTAGCTTTTAATATTAGTTATAACTTTTGTCAACAAATATAATCTGAATCTCTTATACATGACGAACTAGAGCTGGCTGAACATGTTATTGTTTTTCTATGAATGCAGTTTACATGCAGTTTACATTCACTGAAAATCAATGGTGGGTGGTGCTCTGGTTTATCATGCATAAAAGATACATATTTGAGTTGTTGACAAAAGATGTAGCTAATATCAAAGCCTTCAAAAGCTTTCTACACCATTTCACGGAATTCTGTTGATGAAAAAAGTTAGAGACAAATGAATGTAAATGAATGCACGGAATGAACGTAAATGATTTTCCATCCCTGCTCCCCAGCATTATTCCTAAAAGTAGTCTGACTGAGAATTTCAAAAGAGTCGTGAGTGTCGCTAGTATCCAATCTACGAAGTATGTGATAACAACGCTAAGGCCGTCAACAGTATATAGTAGAAGCGATTCGAAGCTATTCGATGCGTTGGAAATAAGCGAAGCGCTTGTGGAAAGCTCCCTCTATGAGAGTTCTATGGGAATCGCCCAAACCTGTCATAAAGAAAGCGATGCAAAAAAGGTGTGCAGCGTTCAGCAAAGCGACAGAAAAAAAACTGATTGCTCTCGTTTTGTGTAAGACCGAAACCTCTCAGGATATTTACGAAGATCTTCGTACAATCTGAAGAACTCCCCATCTTGCCTTCTATTTCAATTGATCGGGTGAACCGCAAACGCTCTTTCGTTGTTCATTACGAAATTAATCGTGCTTGAGGAAGCGAAATATTCCTCATAGGATGAATCCATGCTGAATTGAAACAAATATGAACAAATATTTTGCACTGCCCACGCGACTGTAATGTTTTCAAAAACGCTTTCACTATGTCATAGGCTGCTTTGCTGGCCGCTTCATTTCGCTTTGCCAATTGCTATCGCATAGAATCGCTTCTACTATGTTGTCGGCCTAACGCTAACGCTAACGAACGCTGAAGCCAGGGTCCGTTTCAGTCACACGGTTCCACCAAAAGTCCCGACTTGGAACTCGACGAAGTGCATCTCTGGCACATACTTCATCAACCTGTGATCGAGAGAGAGAAATCGTTCACCACCACTACAGACGTGAGAAGAATCCAACGTCCGTGCAGTCACACGACGTTGCGTTGAGAAGAAAGTGCAGCGAGACGGTACGACGCAACACGGCAGTGCAAGGTGAGACACATTGGTGCAACGAGACAGTACGTCGTCATCCTGTGATGCGTGAGAGTGTTGCGCAACATATCGACGGTACGTCGTCGCGTGACAAGTGCAGTTCATCGTATCGACATTGTGCATGCAGTTGCCGCAGCAGCATGGGGCTCCCATCGATATGAAGCAACAAATTGTGAATATTGATGATTAAGTAGAGTATTACTAAGCACCATTCACTGTTATTTTCCGATAATTGAGTCACTTTGCCGAACGATTTCTTTTAAACCTATATATAATTTTAGGAAAAATATTATCGCAGGGTGGGGTAGTAAGAGCCTATGATGATAATTAGATTAAAGTGGGTGGTTGGTATTTTTTTTGGATTGAGTTGGCCACGATACTACCTACAAAATGATATGGAATGTGTAAGCTGGAAATGATTTTGAAATTTGAATGAGTTATTTAATTATTTCTGAATCGATTAAAGAGCGTTCTGCTCTGCTTTGAATCAAATTTTAGAATAATTATATAATGATGCTTTCATATCGTGAGCGTTGTTACGGTATACTTCTTAGATTGGATTTAGTGTCAGTGCATTTTAAAGTTTATGATTTATTGAGAGGTAAGGAATTGTTCCAATGCGATAACGATTTAAACATTCTCGCTAGTATCAGTTAAATCGAAATAGCCAGAGGGAGAAAAAGAAGAAGTATTTCAAATCCAAATATTACTCTTGGTGACCAATAAAAAGCAAGATATAGGAATTGTGGGACGCTGAAGAAAATTGAAACAACCAGTCACGAACCGACTACATTGTACAGCAGGTCAAGGTGGAACAGCAAAAGTTAAAACAGACCAGTATAAAAATATGGGACCTCAAGGATTTCTTTCCGAAAGCAGCAGAAGCAACATCACACATTTTATACATTTTAAACACCTACCAAATAGGATTAATTTACTTCATCAATCATTTCAATAAATATTGCCTAGTAAATAATCGGATCTGCTGTAAGCAGTTCTCAAACTGCTTAAGTTGACTCTGTTTTGATTCTGTGTATATAGAAACGGCCTTAAGTAGTAGGTAGACGGAGTAGGTATGTAAAACGGAAAACTTAACAAACAATTGAATATTATATTCTCTGTCTTGTTTTGCATTTTGTTTTTGCTTAAACATTAGTCAATAGAGACCGGTAGGGCGGCACGCGGCAGGTTTTAGAACGAATATCTTTCTGTTCGGTAAGTACACATTTTCAGGACAAATTGGCAATAAATAGACCTCGAGTTAACTATGTTCGTTCCTTAATAAAGGGTATAACAATATAAAAAGATTTGATTGGAAAGACATCTCTCAAATAATTTAGTCGTCAGTTTGTTGAAATCAATTTTCAATTGACACATTCAGTTGCTTGGCTTGCTTTTGTTTCTTACTTGGCTAGTTAAAATACAGCTAATTCACGATTGTCGTTAAATTGAGTTAGCAACTCGGTTGCTTCCCTACTCTCCTATACTGTATAACATTAAAGGTAAATTATGGAAGGAAATGTTGGCATTAAGTACATGATATTTCTCTCATATTACTTTTCATCTCAAGTCTTTTCATGATCTCCGAGTGTGTGCTTAAGTACATCTAGGTACGTGTTATGCATGTGAGTGAGTGTATGTGTGTGTGATTTGTATCTTAAAATACGGTTCGACTGTTGCCGAGGCTGCGAGCGGGAAGGCTATTGGTACGAGTCGTTGGACTATCGCGTGCCTGAATGGTGTAACACGAAATGAGATGGTCATACAAATGCACGGTAAAGAAATAGGACAAATGAAGCTCAATGCTGTGCGAAAGGGACACTTACCTGTGAGTGTGCCAGCACAATGCTCAGACATTGAACCCATTCCTCAGCCTTGTTCCCGTCCTTGGGTTTCAGAATCAACGTTTGATCGCCGGTGAAAATTTCAAACGCCTTGGGAATGTTTCGCGCTCCACGAGACACTTTGACCGAGCGGATCTGGTTGACGTCGATACTTTCGCCACCAGTCTAAAAATCATAGGAATCAGCATTGGACAGACATACAGGGATGATCAACACAACTCACCGATCCTTTGCACGATAGATGTGCACCTGAGAGCGTGAAGTATCGGGTGCGCCACCGACGGAACAGTCGCCATTTCCCTTTCTTCTCTTTGAGTTGCCCTTCTATTACCGGTTGCGTATTACCATGTAGGAAGTCCATTGCCTTCTCCGGATGATTGCACAAGAAGCAGCCCCACTGAAAGCGAAATCCATAAAACAATGTCTGTAAGCACTCAAAGTTTCCAAATCAACTCACCTGGAACTGCAAATCCTCGCTGCTGGCACCCTCTGGCGTGCTGGCCGCTCCAAGTTCAAAAACATCAAAGAAACCAGCATTTCGCAACTCGTTGATTAGTGCTTCCTGTTCCTTGACATTGGGAAATGCACTGGTGACTAGCGTTATAAAGGTCTTGTTCTCACATTTCAACGTATCCCAGCAATGCTTCAGTCGACTCACACTCGGGTCCCAACTACTGAGCGCATTCTGTGGGGCTCGTGCTTGCAGGTCCAGAAACATCAAATGGATCCACGTCCTTGGATTTCGTGTTCTCATGGTAAACATAGTTCTCGAATATAGACAATGCGGGCCTCTAACCTGACATGCAAAGTGCAACTTGGCCATTTTCTTGGCTCGCCGCTCCTCGATAATACACTTGGCCGGCGGAGGTAATCTCTGGGCAACGCTCTCGGTAAAAGCTTTAATCTTATCCAGATGCTTCTCGCAGAAATGTTGAATCGTATCCCGCATGGGATACGGCTCGAACACACTCATTCTCTGATTAACCGTACTGCTAGCATTCAACAAAGTTACACTACGGTTATCGTTCCGCCGCGATGTAACTGTTGCCGGGCCGGATACGCTCACCTGATTGCTACCATCTTCGTTTGAATTGAGCGACAGTGTCGTCAGCTGCGGTGATGTCTGCTGGGAATGATTGTTGAACATGGTCGGCGAGGCCGGAGAAGCGTGATGCACTTGGACCATCCCAATCGAACCGGTCGACTGGTTCAGCCCACCCAACGAGTTTTTCCCAAGGGCTCCCGCTGATCCCATCAGAGTGTTGGGACCTTGTGAGTACGGTCGCTGCACTCGGGTCGGCGATGTCGTCACCGTCACTCCTCCAGAAGTGATCTTAGTCTGCGGAATGCCCCACTTGTTCTCGCCGGTTATCATCACGTGCTGACTCAACGGTGGAGGAATCGGTGACGTAAAGTTCTGCACGCTATTGTTTTTGTTGGCGAAGGCAATTGCCACGTTGCCACTGGAATGACTATTGAGGATGTTGCTATTTGAGTTGGAACCACCGCCAGCGCTGCTTCCATCGATTCCGCCGCCTCCGCTGATGCCACTGGCTGCAGTGCTCACGGCACCCGTACCGGGACCATGGTGTGGTTTACCGGATTCATCTGCGGAATATAGAACCGAAGTTAATTGCAGGATTGACGATACGCATTGTTTGGGCTTTCGAAATCATACATGTAGAAAATTTTCTAATCGTCTGGTTGTTGGTAGATGCTCTAGTCACGGAACTAATGATATTTTACTTCTTCATTTCCTTAGCATTGCAAGGTTATTGCTAATAGCATACTACCCGAGCGAGACGGCTAATACATAGGTGTAACAGTCGGAAGAAGTGTTAGTTTGTTTACCTAAATGAACCATGCCCATTTTGTTATGGCATGTTTGCTATACGAAATGCGCCTCGTGTTTATTAGCGAATTTCACATCAAAGATTGATTAATTGAGTAGGAAATCAGTTTGGCACGGCATTTGTGACCAGCATACACCTTCCGGTAGTATGAAACAGGTCAAAAACTGTTCAAATCCGCAGATAAAATTTTTGTTTTGAATTTCTGTATAGCAAAATAGTGAACTTTTCGTGAACATTAACGGCAAAGAATTCACCAACAACATTCCACGTTCTGCTAGCGAATGAGCAACATCAGGGTCTGTTGTCTCGTCACATGGCATTGCATTGAAAGTATTTTTTCACCGCGAAAAGTTTTTTATTTGCAAGTAGTTTTTGTGCCTTAGGTGACTCGCGCATTTCGGAAGGAAGCAGCCGATCCTGGCGAAGCCTACGGTCGGTCTGTTCAACATTAACCCGCTTCGACGATATCGAAATTCTTGCCGCAAAATTAGCCGTAGTTAGCAGCAAGAACGGTTAAACAGTGGCAATCACACGGACTGGAAACAATAACCAGCAGAAAGCAGTGAGCCACCGCACGGACGGTGTATACGACCGGCATCTATTGTGGCAAAGCAGCAACAGTATAAGCAGTAGGAACGGTAAGGGCAAATAATAGCACGTATCTGTTTTTTGTATACCCATTCCTCTGACTGTTTGCTTGTGAATCGTCTGTCTCTCCCCCAGTGGAATCGTTCCATATAGTGTGGTTCTTTAATAAAAAATTAATTACTTCTTAACGAAAGTTTTCAATTTCGTATGGATGAAGCTCAGGGGGGCGTCAAGCCTCCCAATGATAAAGTAAGAAAGCGTCATTACCAGGCGTCTTCTGCTTCGCCTTGGGTTGTCTACTTTCGGCAGAAAGAGAAAGCCCTAAACTTCTTAGGGATTAAAAGAACGTTGACGCGTCGTTTCCCGGGGACCGAATTTCATCAGGTCAATCGGAACAAACTGCGTATAACTGCACTCACATATAAAGTCGCAAATGAGATTGCTGACGACGAGGGTTACAATGAAGAGTATTACGTCTACATCCCATCTCGAGATGTGGAGATAGACGGCGTGGTCTCTGCAGTGAGCCTGACGTGTGATGACGTCATGGAAGGTATGGGGCGCCTTCAAAATGCTGCTACATCTACCGTGGACGTTCTGGGTTGCAGGATATTGTATTCAGCGACCACGGTAGATGGTCAAAAGACTTATTCCCCTTCAGGCTCATTACAGGTGTCTTTCGCTGGATCGGTTCTCCCAAAGTTCTTAGAAATTGAAAATGTTTTTTTCCCGGTGCGACTTTTTGTACCAAGGGTATATAATTGTACCAACTGCAAAAAGTTGAGTCACACAGCTGCTTTTTGTGACAACAAGCCCCGTTGTGGCAAATGTAGCCAAGACCACATGGAGGGTGCTTGCCAACAGGAAGCAACTAAATGTGCTTACTGTGGCAAAGAACCTCTTCATGCTTTGCAGGACTGCCCCGCGTACAAGAAGCGTACCAACAATGTGAAGCGTTCAATAAAAGAACGCTCCAAGCTGACGTTTGCAGAAATGGTTAAGTTGCAAAATGGAACCTCTGCTTCGTTGGCATCAGCCGCTCAAAATGAAAACACTTTTGAGATTTTGTCTTCCGATGAACTGGACTCTGACATAGCAGATGAGAGTGAGTCTCCGGAGGTACACGCCCCCGGTAAAAGGAAGCCGACTAGCTCCCCGGGAGTGTGCCGGAAAAAAAATAAAACCACTCTCAAAAGCATGCAAAAATCTGAAGGTAGCGGGGATTCATTGAAAAAGCCGAACAAATCGGTAATTGCTGCTCCAGCTGATCCTTGCTGCAGCTTTTCCACCCCGCCGCTACCTAATAAAGGTAATCGTAAGAGGTTACCAAAAATAAACACCACGTCTACTCGCAATTCAAAGAAAACTCTCCCGTCCAAGCGAGGAAAGATTAAATTTAAGGACATTGTGGATAATATTTTGAATGCCCTCGGCTTTCCCGACGAATCGCCACTTCGAGGGCTTATTGACCTGCTTGTTCCTATAGTCGGAAACTACTTCAAGCAATTGACTGCATCATGGCCCCTCATTGGTGAATTCATATATTTCGATGGATAATTCGTCGAGTGAGGATCAAGATATGATCACTTTATTACAATGGAACTGTCGTAGTTTAATACCTAAATTAGACTCGTTCAAGTATTTGATTCACAATTCTGATTGTGATATATTTGCACTCTGTGAAACTTGGCTTTCTTCTGAAGATGAACTAAACTTCCACGATTTTAACATTATCCGCCTGGACCGAGATGATTCATATGGTGGCGTACTTTTGGGGATCAAAAAGTGCTACCCCTTCTATAAAATCTCAATCCCAATAATTTCAGGCATTGAAATTGTCGCTTGCCAAATAAATGTGAAGAACAAAGATCTTTGCATAGCTTCTGTATATGTCCCTCCAAGGACTTCCATAAACCGCCGTCAGCTTTGGAGTTCAGTTAATATCCTTCCATCTCCAGTTCTAATACTGGGCGATATGAACTCACACGGTACTGGTTGGGGCGAATCATACGATGACAATAGAGCGGGTATTTTCTATGATTTGTGCGACGATTTCAACTTGACTATCTTGAACACTGGTGAAGCAACACGTATAGCAAACCCTCCTGCTCGAGAGAGCCGTCTTGACATTTCTTTGTGCTCTAACTCACTATCATTAGATTGTCTGTGGAAGGTTATCAATGATCCCCATGGTAGTGATCACTTGCCAATTATTATTTCAATCAAAAGTGGTCGTCTAAAAACAGATCAGTCAATTCAAGTTCCTTTTGACCTCACGAGGAACATTGATTGGCAAAAATTTGTATCGGCGGTAACTCTTGGTATTGATTCTACCGATCCTCTACCACCACTGGAAGAGTATCGTTTCTTTACCGAACTGATCTACAAAAGCGCATTAGAAGCTCAGAAACGACGTGTTCCAAGTGCATCCCTCAAAAGAAGACCTGCCACCCCTGGATGGGATGACGAATGCACAAAGTTGTATCTTGAGAAATCCGATGCCTTTAAAGATTATCGTAGACATGAAAGATCTGAGCTTTTTGAAAAGTATCTAAAGCTTGAAAAAAAGCTTAAAAACTTACTAAAAGCAAAGAAACGAAATTACTGGCGTACTTTTATCGAGGGACTTTCTAGAGAAACCTCGATGACAACGCTTTGGAAAAAGGCTCGCTATATGCGAAACCGCTCATCTTCCAATGAGAGTGAAGAATACTCCTCACAATGGATATTCGACTTCGCTAAAAAGGTTTGTCCAGATTCTGTTCCAGCACAACCAACTTTACGGGATACAGCCCGAAGTAACGGTTCTCTGGATGAACCATTCACAATGCTGGAATTTTCAATGGCACTTCTTTCATCGAATAACTCTGCACCGGGTAGCGATATGATCAAATTCGACCTTCTAAAAAACCTCCCCGATATCGCTAAAAGACGATTACTTAACCTATATAATTCATTTATGGAATTCAATATAGTTCCACCAGCATGGAGACAGGTTAAAGTAATAGCTATTCAAAAGCCTGGGAAACCAGCGTCTGATCACAATTCTTACCGTCCGATCTCTATGTTATCATGCCTGAGGAAATTATTAGAAAAAATGATCCTATTAAGACTTGACCATTGGGTTGAATCAAACAATCTACTTTCAAATACGCAATTTGGTTTCCGGAAGAGTAAAGGAACAAACGATTGTCTAGCGATGCTTTCATCTGATATTCAACTGGCCTTTGCGCACAAGGAGCAATTGGCTTCAGTCTTTTTGGATATTAAGGGCGCATTTGATTCGGTTTCCATAGACATACTGTCAGACAATTTGCACAGTAATGGATTACCCGGTATTTTGAATAATTTCTTGTATAATTTGCTGTCAGAAAAACAAATGACCTTCAAACTAGGTCAACTGACAACTTCTAGAATTAGCTACATGGGCTTACCCCAAGGTTCATGTTTAAGTCCCTTACTTTATAATTTCTATGTCAAAGATATTGATAACTGCTTAGATAATCTATGCACGCTTAGACAGCTTGCAGACGATGCCGTGGTTTCCATGAGAGGTCCACGTGCGGAAATCTTGCAAAGACCATTGCAAAATTCCCTAAATAATCGGTCTTTCTGGGCAAGAAATTTAGGGATCGAGTTTTCACCGCAAAAAACTGAATTGGTAGTGTTTACAAGGAAGCGGTTTCCAGCCCAACTGCGTCTAAATCTTTTGGGCAGAGACATTACCCAATCTTTAACCTTCAAATACCTAGTCTGGTTTGATTCAAAATGCACTTGGGGTACCCATATTACGTATTTGAAACAAAAGTGTCAACAAAGGATCAACTTTCTACGATCAATTTCTGGGACATGGTGGGGTGCTCACCCGGAAGACCTCATTAAACTATATAAAACGACTATTCTTTCAGTTCTTGAGTATGGCTCTTTTTGCTTCCTCTCGGCAAGAAAAACCCACCTAATTAAATTGGAACGCATTCAATATCGTTGTTTACGTATTGCCCTTGGCTGTATGCATTCAACACACAATATGAGCCTAGAGGTCCTAGCGGGCGTAAAACCCCTGCAGAACCGTTTCTGGGAGCTCTCATTAAGATTATTGATCAAATGTAGTGTCAGTAACAACCTTGTGATTGAAAACTTCGAAGAAATGCTCGAATTGAGCATCCAGTCTAGATTCGTGCGAATCTATCTTAATTATATGTCATCGGATATTAGCCTTCCTTGCTATAACCCCTCTCGTGTATGCTTTACTAACTACAGTTCCCCCATTGACTATGATCTCTCCATGAAACAGGCTATTCAAGGAGTTCCAGATCAACTTCGACCTATCTTAATTCCCCGCATTTTCGCTGAAAAGTACCAACAAGTCAATTGCAATAGAAGATTTTTCACTGATGGATCACGCATTGATGGTTCCACTGGCTTCGGCGTCTTCAATGAATACTCAACCGCCTTTCGGAAACTTCAGGAACCTTGTTCCGTTTATGTTGCTGAGCTAGCAGCAATCAACTTCGCATTGGGGATGATTTCCGATATGCCCATAGACCATTACTTCATCTTCTCGGATAGTCTCAGTTCGATTGAGGCTATTCGGTCGATGAAACAAGGTAGGCACTCATCTTATTTCCTTTCAAAGGTAAGGGAGCAGATGAGTTTGCTGGTCGAAAGATCATATATGATTACCTTTGTATGGGTCCCCTCACATTGCTCAATCCCAGGCAATGAGAAGGCAGACTCTCTCGCAAAGGTGGGCGCACAACAAGGCGAGATTTATGATAGAAGACTTTCACATGATGAATTTTTCCCATTAGTACGTCAGAGTTCTCTTTTAAGTTGGCAAAACGATTGGACAAGTAATTCTCTTGGGCGGTGGTTACATTCCATTATTCCAAATGTTTCTTCGAGAGCGTGGTTCAAAGGTCTGGATGTAAGTCGGGGATTCATTCGAGTGATGTCAAGACTTATGTCCAACCACTACTCGCTAGACGCACATCTCTATAGAATAAACCTCGTTGACAGCAATATATGTAGGTGCAGAACCGGTTATGATGACATCGATCACGCAGTTTGGTATTGCCCGGGTAATGACGCCTCCAGAGCACGACTATTGGATACCCTAGTGGCCCGAGGTAGACAACCCTTCCGTGAAGTAAGAGATGTATTGGGAACACGTGATCTTCCCTACATGCAAGCGATCTACGAATTCCTTTGTTTGTCTGATGTTAGAGTTTGATGTGACCATCCCATCCTTTCCAAACAATTTCCCGCCATTGTGTCCCAGTCTTATTATCCTCCTGTTCCTGTGCTACTTGCCCCTGCCCAGCCAGGATTTGGTCAACCGTCCGAGAGTAGTATCTGAAGGAGGCTTCAGAAACCAGTTTCCTACCTAGCTCCTTCCCATCGAAATTGTTACCCATTAACCTCGAGCCCGCCACGAGTAATTGGTACCCAATACTAACCTAGAACTACTGCTATTTAAAATGTAAAATCAAACATTACTGATTTTGGCTCCGCAAAGTGTCACACACGACTGAGCCTAGTAAATAAACGAACTAGTAAAAAAAAAAAAAAAAAAACTCACCAACACTGGGAGACTGTGAGTTCCTGCCCACCTGTTCATTTTCCATCGTGCTACCCGAGCACGATGGAAAATGAACAGGTGGGCAGGAACTCACAGTCTCCCAGTGTTGGTGAGTTCTTTGCCGTTAATGTTCACGAAAAGTTCACTATTTTGCTATACAGAAATTCAAAACAAAAATTTTATCTGCGGATTTGAACAGTTTTTGACCTGTTTCATACTACCGGAAGGTGTATGCTGGTCACAAATGCCGTGCCAAACTGATTTCCTACTCAATTAATCAATCTTTGATGTGAAATTCGCTAATAAACACGAGGCGCATTTCGTATAGCAAACATGCCATAACAAAATGGGCATGGTTCATTTATGTAAACAAACTAACACTTCTTCCGACTGTTACACCTATGTATTAGCCGTCTCGCTACCCGAGCAAAGTCGGTCAAAAAATGAAAGCAAATCGATAATAAAGTTTGCTGTTCCTATCATAATGAAAACACATTTTGATTTTAATTGTCGCGAAATAAGTTCAGTTTTTTAAATGAGTTCAAGTTCTACTGCTAACGTCTTGTTGAAAATTGAACTAACCATTATTGTCTTGCCCGTATCAATAATCAAATTGATTTCATATATAGCAGGATTAGTTTTCCGTTTGATTCAACAGTGTAAAATGTTGCTCCCATTTTTGCAACCAAAATGAACCAAAATGAACCAAAATGAACCAAACTTGAAAATCGATGCTGTTTGGTGCCGATTGGTGTTTAACTGTAGAAAATCAACCCTTATATCAGACTTACCTCCATTATACTGCCCGAGCAGCTGCGACGAACTGAGTCTGGTCATCGATTTGTGCAAACCTCCCACCGATCCTCCGGCAATGTTTAACCGAGTCATGCTCTTGTTACCACCACCTCCGGAATGTAACCGCCCCGTACTTCGAGAATCGCCCAGTTTCGCCCGACGTGTGTAGCTAAAATCGAACAATGCAATATTTAATCAGTAACTAAAATCCGCCAAAAGATGGCTGATAATCTCACCCGGTATGCGGTGGCGTTGGCGGTACCATGGGCCCTCCATTCACGACAGCCGGTATCCCATTGGCAGAGTTCATGAAGTTTGTCAGCAGAGCTGGATGGATGGTGGAAGTCGTAGTCGTTCCATTCGATGTATTGATGATTGTAGTGATGGCAGTCGTGGCACTACTATTGCCAATGACGGCCACGTTTGGTGTTTTGGAAATTATCGAGCGACTATCCAGTGTCACCGGTGGTGTTGTAGCCGATGCCACTGCCGTTACCGGCAGCGTCGCGGAAGAGTTCAGATTGACTATGGTAACTCCGCCGGGAGTCTGTTTGATTTGATTGCTATTGTTCAGTTGTCGTTGCCGTACCACCGAAGTGACCTTGTCGGTAAACAAAACCGGATACTTGGTACAGAGCTTGGTCGCTTCGTTCAGTAGGATCGTTTGCAAAGCACGATCCGCCTTAGGGAGGTACTCCAACACAAAGTCTAAAGCGACCTGCGCTCGGTCTTTGCTCGATTTACCTATCGCTGATAAGATTTGCGCTGCAAATCCAACCGTTTGTGGTACCACCAGGGCAACATTCTTCACCGAGTCGGTGTATTCACTCATTTTGATCGGTTTGTATTCGGCCAGTTTTAGAATCACCAACATAACCGCAGTAGAAATGCAAGGTTTCTGGGCTAGATCGATAAGCTGTGGAATGCTTTCTAGCAGGGAGGAGGGTTTACTCTTGGCAATCGCTACCAACAGTTGTAGGATCACAATCTGCTCTTGGAGTTCACATTTTGGAATGATTTCGACGAACCGCTTAGCTTCGGCATTGATCGGTTCCGGAGCAGCATCGTAGATTTGCGAGAGAACGTGACATAGGCCGTAGTTTTCGTTTAGTAGGGATTCTAGAATGAGCTTGACGTGGGGCGAGAGAAGATAGGAATACTCGATGGCTGCCGACGAGAGATAGCTTGCCAGGTTCCGGGACAGTTCCAAGTTTCCTTTGTTCAGGAATTTAACGGCTACGGGCAGTGTTACTTCCATCACGTGCTTTTTGTTGTAATTCTACGGGAAAAATACGTTTAATTTGAAGGATTTAATTTTACCTTAAGTGACATTCAACTTACAAGAAAAATACTGGAAATGATATCTGAGGAAATCTTGGCATGGGGTGGATCCGCCTCCTTGCTGGACGGTTGCAGGTTGTACTTGAGACAGGTCTCCAACAGGCCCACCAGCCCGGCGCAGTGCTTTTCGATGGTGTTGGTCTTTTTGATGCATGACGTGACACGGTTGATACAGATTTCGATCACCGATTGATCATTGCTGTTCTGCAGGTAGTCCTCGTGGCTGATGATGGAAGATATTTCCTGAAGCTACGGATTAGGAATAAAAAACAAAAATGTTGAAACGAGAGATATAACATAAGGACATCTTTAAAACTTATTAAAGAAAAGCAAACCAAAAAATTTCTTTAATACGCTGGTATTATACGTTAGATTTAGTTTCACGCGATTTATGCCTTCCTGTAATTCTAAAACCCGAAAAATTTCTAGACCGGACCGGGAATCAAACCCAGCCATCTCCAGCATGGTCTCGCTTTGTAGCTGCCCCTTTACCGACTGAGCTAAGGGAGTCCATCCCATATAAGTCTTAGGGGGTCTTTATAACAGTCCAGAAATTCTCTGTAGAACACTCCGAAAAAATCATGAATTCATCCTTAGATTCTCTTCGAATTTTAAACTCTTTGATTTCATTGAAGTTTCAATTTTATTAATGCAATTCACCTCATAATTCTCAACTAACAATTAAAAAAGGCCTATTAGCTTTTGTGAGCAAAACTTGTAATTCCATTTCCCTGCCAACACTATCGGCTAGCAAAAATTCTCCCGCCGAGAATTGTCTTAAATTTGTGTGCAGAATTATCTTGGAGTTCTCCTCTAAATTCTTCTGGAAATTGCTTGGAATTCTCTATAAAATTCTAAAGAAATTATTTTCGAAGTGCATTTGAATTTATTATCGGAATTTCCTTAAAGATCCTCGCAGAATTCCTTTAAAATTGTACCCATAAAATTCGATTCCCTTGGTATTGTTCATGAATCCTGGAATCCTCTTCACAATCGTTATGAAATTTTCCAGAGAGCTAGTTATATTTTTTTAACTCTGAATTAACTCACTTGACTTGGGAGTTCTAGTCGAAACTCTCTTAGTGAGGTTCTTAAAACTCCCTAGAAAATATTATCTGAAAAACTACACTCTGAAAAATGTTCGCGTTCAATTTACGTGAAAACATAGATGGTTTTCATCCACTCTATTTTTCACGTAGCTTTTACCGGAATTGAACCGATAGCCGAACAAAATTTAGCTTCGATTATCTACGTGATTAGTCAGGTAAATAGAACATGGAAATCGTGTATTTTTTACGTGAAATTGGTGTGAAAAGTACTGAAAAAAAACGGTAACTTTTACGTCATATTCCGTTTACTTTAAAATGCTTTTCTCGTTAATTGTACGTGAATTTCGAATGAAAAAATGGAATCCATTTATTGGACCAGTCAATATTTTGTAATTTTATTGGACAGATATAAATTTCAATTATTTCAATTGTTGTTTATATCTGCTCATAAAATTGGTTGATTATTAATTAGGTATAAACCGTTATGTGTCTTTTATTATATTAATTTGTTTCATTATGAATTTAAACTACTATCATTATAATCTTATTATAATCTTCCGATACAGTTAGCACACACAAAATGCCGATTCCGACATTGTCAAGCATATGAAACTGTCGAAGTTCGCTAAGAAATGTATGCTTTGGCAGGCTATCTGTACCTGTTTCAAGCCACATTTCTATTGCAACCGGGACCGTCAACCAGGAAATTTACGTGAACGAGTGCTTGGAAAAATCGTCTGCTGCCTTTCCTGATGCAACACGATTATTTCCGATGCATTTGCGGATTTGGCATCCTGCCATTACAGAAAAAACACCATGGAGTGGTATGCCGGCAACAACGTGCAGGTGATGCCCAAGGATAAGAACCCTTCCAACACGCCAGAGCTTCGTCAAATCGAAAAATTTTGGGCGGAATCTAAAGAAGATCCAAAAAACTGTTGGAAGCGAGAATCAGTTTAAGGCAAACGGCAAACTGGCGTTCTGCGGCGAACAAAGTGGACGAGATGGCTGTACAGATTCTGATGGCAGGAATTAAACTGCAGGCCCGGTAATTCGGATTCGGAAATTAATCAATTTACACGCATTCTTGTTTTTTTTATCCCCATAGGATTGCAATGATCGGGGTTGATGAAAATTTTTTTCAAGTGACTACGATGTCAGACGGATTAGTCTATGGTGACCAATTAAACTCCGGATTCACGATCTAGATTAATCATAATCTTCTTGAAAATCTTTATGGTTCGGTAATCGCAGGTCTGTCTTTGTCTATGTCTTCTTCTCATTCGTACGTCAGTTTTAATGGCTGGATGTTTTCTTGTCTAATGTCATGATGTGTTTGTGTATCTGTGTGTGTGTGTGTGTGTGTGTGTGTGTGTGTGTGTGTGTGTGTGTGTGTTTTTTTCTTTTTTTTTTTTGGCAAGGAGGAAACTTTCAAAAAGGCCATTGTGCCACCGCTTGACGACTGTGGGCACAGTCGCGGTGACACGGTGTGTGGGATTCTTACCGCACCAAAACCTCCTTGGACGCCTTGCCCTTTTCCCTCGGAACCACTTGTCGTATTACTTCGGAGGGGGCTGTGCATTACACACCTCACTTTACCTCAGCTAATTGACGCTTCCCCGGTGGTGGATTCAGCCTACTCTGACGAAGAGTTCTCCCGGTTTCGGCTTTCAGTTCGCACTTGTGTGAGCACATTACTACTTTCTAGTTGGTCTTCTCGCCATTTTCACTGCAACGCTGACATGATCTGCGTTACTGCTCTGCTGACGGCGTTAAAGGTGCCCTCCTCTCGACACATTTCTTCGACGACATTCTCCGTGCTAAGGGCGAGCATATCCTCTCGCACATCATCAAATCTAGGACATTCGAAGACCACGTGCTCTGGTGATTCTTCCACATTCCCACACTCCGGTCAGAAGGGTGACGTTATGTGTCCGAACCGATGCAGGTACTTTTTGAAGCAGCCATGACCAGACAGGAACTGCGTCAAGTGGAAGTTGACTTCTCCATGCTTCCTGGTCACCCAGGTCGAAAGAATCGGTATTAGCCTGTGTGTCCATCTACCGTTCTCTGCTGCATCCCACTCCTACTGCCACTTAGCCATCGACTCCGTTCTCACCATTTTTCGTACTCCTCTGGTTTCTCTCGTCATATAGCATAGTCAATCATAGCTCAATCATACCGGCGATAACGCATACTGCCTCCATCGAAATGGTTCTGTACGCACTCACGACTCGCATGGCCATGAGCCGGAACGTACTGCTCAATTTCCTTTGGTTCTGCTTCGTTTTCAGCGCTTCAATCCAGGCTGGACCTCCGTATCTTAGTATCGATGAGGACACACTAGCCAGAAGACGCCTCTTGCTGCTGCTTGGACCAGAATTGTTCTTCATGATTCTGGCTATTGCGTTGATGACCTTCGCCGCCTTCTCGCAGGCATATTCGATGTGGCTATTAAAGTTTAGCCGATCGTCGATCATCACTCCCAGATACTTCAGCACGCGCTTCGAAACAATGGTGTGCTCTCCAACGGTGATTTCTGCCCGCTGCCCTGCTTTGCAGTTACTGACCAACATCACTTCTGTTTTGTGGTGAGCTATCTGCAGCTTCGCTCCTTGCATCCAGTTACCAATCGTATCTATCGCCTCGGCCGCCAGTATTTCCACTTCTTCCAGCGTCTCACCGGTTACCGACAAGACGACATCGTCCGCAAAGCCAACGATCTCAACTCCTTTGGGCAGCTTGAGCGTCAGCACGCCATTGTATATTCCGTTCCACAGCGTGGGACCTAGAATGGAGACTTGTGAAACTCCCGCCGTGATTCTAAGTGATTTCTGCCCCGTGTCTGTCGCGTAGACCAGGACCCGGTTCTGGAAGTAACTACTTAGAATCCTGCAGAGGTAGTCTGGAACCCTCATTCCATGGAGCGCCTTGGCGATGGCCTCCCAACTGGCGCTATTGAATGCATTCTTCACATCAATCGTAATCACGGCGCAGTATCGATTTCCTCTCCGCTTCTGTTTGGAAGCTTTCTCGGCTCTGTCAATCACTGTCCGAATTGCATCCACCGTCGATCTCCCTTTCCGGAATTCAAACTGCCGCTCCGACAATCCGTGTTCACTTTCCGTGCATCTCCAAGATGCAAGCATATTCGCCTATACGATGCAGGATCCCCCAGCGGTTTTCCGGGCTTCGGCAACAGCACAAGCTTTTGTACCTTCTACCTATCAGGGAACTGACCCTCGTCCAGACATTTCTGCAGCACCATCCTAAACATGTCCGGGAACGTCTGGATCGCCGCCTTCAACGCCACGTTGGGAATTCCATCCGGGCCGGGAGCTTCATTCGCTTTCAACCCTTTCGCTGCTGCTATGAGTTCCTCGTTGGAGACTTGTTCAACGTTGTCTTCATCTACCTCGCCATATGGTGTAGGTGGCCAGTTCGTTGGGTCATTCTGTGGGAAAAGTCCCTCCACGATGACTTTCAGCTTGTTGGGACACATTTCAACCGGCATCGTTGGACCTCTGATCTTTGCCATCGCGACTCGGTATGCGTTGCTCCAGGGGTTGGCATCGGCGTCGCGGCACAGCTCCTTGAAACTATTTGACTTGCTTTATCTTTCGTTTCAGTGCAGCCCTGGCCTCTCGGAACACCACCCTGCGCTCCTCTCTATCTGATTCTGTTTTTGCTCTCTGAGCACGCCTTCTGGCTAGAAGACAAGTAGCACGGAGGGTGCTATCTAACGTACTATCCACATTTGTTGCCTAATACCTACATGTAATTTTTAATTTTATCACGATAAGTTGCTCAAAATAGCAGCCTGTAATTTCTTACCAGAATTCGCCTCCAATTTAATGTCTTTCGATATTTTCGAAGGCGAACACTCCGCAACCTATTCTTGCTAGTGATTCTGTCCAATTGTTAGATATCCAAATTATAGTCATTCGTAAATTTACTATTGAATATATGGATGAATTATCTATTATTGAAGAACTATTATTTACGATAATTACATGAAAGAAATAAAATATAAACTATAAGCAAAACGTGACTACTAAAAACTCAAAAAGATATTCTGACAAATGTATTTCACGCATCCAGGAATCTGAAAACTATCAGACGCTGTAATGATACTTTGCACATGCTAGACACAAGAAGAGGCCAAAAGGCAATCAACGATTCTACGAATCGCGAGCACTC